CCCCTTCCCTGGGAGACTGCTGACGGCCTCGGCCTTTCCTGAGGACCCCATCTAAGACAGCACCCCACACCACCCAAGCCCTCTTGTCTGCTGAGTACTCATCATTTTAGCCCATATTGTAGGTGCGTCCTTCCTGTCGCATCCCATGTGCCCCCCCCAGTGGAAGCCCTAAGGGCAGGAGCTGCCAACCCAGCCTCAGGCCACCTGCATGGAGAGGTTAAACCCCCCACACCCCGTTTCTTTAACCCCTCACCGAGCAGCACTTCCTAGGGATGACCAGTGAGGTGCACCGCACCAGCTTTGCACAAACTCAGTCCCGGCTCGAGTCTTTGCCCTTCAAGTACGAGCACCGAGCACCGTTCTGGCCAGACACTCCTAAACCCTCACGCCTGAGGCTTCAAACGCCACCCCAGGCCCACGTTGCGCTGGATTCCTGACCAAAGAGCGGCTTTCCCACTGAGCAAGCCCCCTGCTGTCACCGGGCGGAACCCACACAGAGCTCTAGGGGCTCTCACCCCCGCCCAGCCCGGGACCCTGAGCTGGGTCTGACTCAGCTTCCCTGGAACTACGGGGGTCCCTGGGGTTCCTCAGTGCAAGCCCAGCCCTGCAGATTAAACTTCTGCATAATTTTCTGGTGAAATAAGGTCTTGGCTAAGTTACAAACCCAAAGCCAGAAGTCCCCAGTTGGTGCCACGTTGCGAAAGAGCAGAGTCTGGTGGGGGACGACGCCCCCTCGTGGACGTGGGGAGCAGCGCGGCGCTGGAGGGGCGGTTCTGGATCTGGGCTGCGGCGGACGTTTCAGGCTCCGGCCTTTGCCCCTCAGCAGCTTTCACCTTTGAAAAACTAAGGCGGACGTTTCAGGCTCCGGCCTTTGCCCCTCAGCAGCTTTCACCTTTGAAAAACTACTCCGGGGGTCACGAACATGGGGGATATAAGGTAACTAAACCAAGATCAAGATGGGCACCAGGAGGGCGAGCCAGACGCCAGGAGGGGGAGGAAGACTAGGGACAACAGAAACTTGGGGTGGGGCCAGGGCGGCAGGGGTGCTGACGGGGGCCCCCAAATGTTATCTCAATTAAACATGAGCCTGACTGCAGCCTCTGGGGCCCACCCAGCACCACCAACGCCTGCACCCGAGAGGCCAGACCGCTCCTCTAAGGACAGAGCAGGGCGCGGGGGGTTCCAGGAGCCTCCCAGGGCATCGACCACACGCTTCTGGAGTCTCCTGGTGGGCTCCGGGCTCCCCGACACCCGGCTCCTACGAGGCGCCCAGCACTCTGCCTTCGTGGGGAGAACTGAAGACGGCTGCGTGGGGTGCAGCATCAGACGGGAGCGCAAAGAGGCAAGTGGGATCCAGGGCTTCACCCCGCTGCTCTGCCTCAGGCCAACCATTCTCTCCCCGCCTCACACCACCGTTCTAACAGGCTCTTCCGCCCTGACCCACCCGGGTGAGGTCCCGGGGGACCCCCAGCCCCAACTCGGACCACGTCAGAACAAGAGACAGCAGAGGCCTCGCAGCTGAGTGGGAGCCGCATCCCCCCCAGCATGTGCCCCCCCCCATCCCCACCTCCAGGAGGGCCACGGCCTGGGTCTGAGCTCCCGCCGGGCCTACCAACCCCGGACTGGGCTCCCGCCGTGAAGTCTGCAGACGTGGAGCCGGGCTGCCCGGCCCAACAGACAGACGGACAGACATGGTCCTGCCTGCAAGTGAGCAGACACCAGCACGCAGGAAACCACCACCCAAGATGGGCAGCCCGATGGATTCTTCCAGAAATACCAACAGCACCGTTTCCCTGCACAGGTCACATCTGAACACAATGGAGGGCAGTAGCTCCGCTCCTCCCTCTGGAGAGGCCCGGGGCCGCTACAGCCAACAGTGATCTTTGAAACTAAAAGCTGTGTCTGTCCAGCGCCTGCAGGAAGCCCCCGATAGCTCACACTTGCCTGGGGGCAGACAGGCATCCCCGACACAGATTTTGTGAAGACCCCAGAACCTCCCCCACTGCAGTTTCCTAGTTCACAGACACGTGGCTGGGCTCTGAGAAGTGGAGGCAGATGGGACACCTAGGATGTCTGAGGCACTCCCAGATCCCCCCAAGTGCTCATATGGCAGGTGTTGGGGTCCTCATCACCTCAATTTGCTGGAGAAATGAAGGCACGGCAGCAGCTGCCTCTGGTCTCAGCAGGCCACGGGGGAGCGGCCCCACGCTGCCTCCAGGCCATGGGCACTTCCGGCCAGCAGTGCCGAGGGGATACTTCTGGGTTCCTTGAACCCAAGTGCTGCTGTGCGCCCCTCTGCCCCTCTACTGCAAACCCCACCAAGAGGGGCCAGACCCCTGGCAGTGGCACTGGATGAGAGGACCAGGATTCTGCTGAGGTGAGAGGTTTGCCAAGTGCTGGCAAGTATTTAAGCAGGACAGGCAGGTGCCTGGGCTACGGCGGTGGCGAGGCCCACACTCCAAGATGCCTTTTTCCTTCTGGTCTAAAGGGTGGCACAGGCGTGACACGAAGCTAGTGTGACACAGCCCGGTGTCCCGACTCGCAGCCACCGCCGATAAGGACGCAGCGGGCCCCTCCTTTTTACATGGCTAGATGAGACGGTGAGCCAGCGGGGATGTGGGAGTCCTCTGATGGCCCCACCCAGTGCCAGCAGAGCCCCCGCGGGTGTCCGTTCTGGGCTGGTGGTTGTGCTCCTGCTGGGAACCCGGGTAGTGGTGCCGAGAGCCGTGGTCCTGGGTACAGGGCATGGGCTGCCCACAGCACCAAGCCCTGAGTAAGGAGCTGTGGCCCCCGCAGAGGGCTGGCGGTGCCCCTGCCCTGCCTGTGGGAGCGAGAGGCTGCCGGGGGTCAGATATGCAAGCGAGGAAGAGGAAGTAGAGGCGGGCAAGGCCTCGGCCAGCTATCATCCTCTGGCAATTCCTCTCTAAAGCGATGCGCTGCTTCTGCACAAGGTGACCCCCCCACCCCGCCGCCACTCCCCGCCAGATGACCAAGGCCATGGCCACCGATCTCCTTAAGGGCAAGCACCGCCCCCGGTGCCCACACATCCCAGAGAATGACCAGGGCTTAGAGGTCACTCTTCAGTGGGGGCAGCACTGCAGCTGTGAGCTCAGCAGAGGGGATGCACCCTCTTCCCCCGCCCCGCAACGACACGGAAACCACAACAGAGACGGGGGTCAGACTCCTTTATTTATGTCCACACCACGCACCTGGCGGGGCGGCGGTCCCAAATCACCTGGTCGGAAGAAAACCAAGTCCACCTGGCAGGCCCTGGGCTGAGAACCAGGCAGGAACCAGATTTTCGTGCAGCGCACACAGATCTTCCAGTCAACTCCCCTGCAGAGAGAGTGCATGCCGTCAGGTTTCACTGGGCTCCCGCGAGTTGGACAGTCAGAGGTCCAAGCTGTCGCACCCTAACCCCCCCCCCCCGCCCCCCTGACACCCGCCTCGCACCCAGGACGCGGCATGGACAGCGCCCCCTGGCGGCCCTGCTTCCACAGCTCCTCCTTCCTGGCCCCTCCCAGGCTGGGGCACCCCACACAAGGCAGTCAGAGGTCTCCAGGCTGTACTGCCCCCCACCATCCAGGACCTGCCTGAGACAAAGCCACAGCAAACCTGAACCCCCACAAAGTAACCCACCACCAACCTGTCTGTCCTTACAGTTTTTTCCCGCCCTCTGGCCACATACGTTTCCCTGGCCCGGCACCCACTCTCCTGCCGCTCACGTGGGAATCAGCCTGTTCTCCCTGCAGGGTTCCACCCCAGGGGTCCCACGGGGAATGCTCCTCCTGTTGTTCCACAGCAGTGACGCCCCTCTAGATTGAGCCCCTCGACATCCCTCCAAAGCAGATGACGCGCTCATCACCACAGCAGGCCCCACGACACATCCTCAATGTTCTTAGGGTCGCAACGGCAAGTGAAACAGCTCCCCGAAACAGCGCCATGTCATGTGGCGTTGGCCAAGACAGCTGTTTTCATGGACGTCATGAACTAACGTCACTCAAAGACTTGCTGTCGTTAAACATGCGGAAGAAAATGCCACCTCTCAATCTGCACTGACAACAGACGGACAGGCGGGCTCCGTCACCGCTGAGCCAAGATGGAAAAGTTCCGCCCACAGCTACGGTCCACGTGCGGGATGCTCAGCGACCCCAGGGTCTGCCCAGAGGGGCTCTGCTCGCTTCTGCCCAGGGAGGGGGAAGAGCATTCACGTGCCACGATCCCACAAGTGCCACCAGGACTGTGGGTCCAACACACCGGCCACTACCCTCATGTGGCCATTTAACCTAAATCCAGCTCCTGGGGCGCCGCCTCACAGCCAGGGGGCCTCAGCGACATGCGCTTGCGGCCGCTCTCCCGGGCAGCAGCCACCGGCCACTTCCACCACCCAGAGAGCTGCCGGACAGCACTGTTCTGTACGCTGCGTTCTTTTGAAATCCCAGTTTCAGCACATCATCTTTTGTCTAAATCTGAACTGTCTCCCATCTTCTTAGGAAAGATGAAAACGCGCACATGAGCCAGACCATGTGGTCTGGCCCTTCCCCACCTTTCCAGCTCGCTCCACACCGTCTCCACCTCGCTCTCCGGGCCACGTGGCTTCCTTCAGCTCCTCCACTAGACACTGGCTCCGCCACTGGCCCTTTGCACATGTGGCTCTGCCCGTCACCATGAAGTCCTACCCAGCATGTCCGAGTTCAGCGCCGGGGCCCCACCTGGGGAAGCCTCCCAGCGTCCATCTGCATCCTCGGGAGGGCCGCTCTCACAGCTCTGTGCCTCCCTCCAGCGCATTCAGCCCCCCAACCTCTGCAGTGCGCTCACTTAACCCTGTCTCCGAAACCGTAGCTCCCCCAGAACCCGGGCCACGACCGTGCCGATGGCCGCTGTGCACCAACACCTCACATGGTGTGCGGCCCGGGTACCCGCCGAGGCGGACGGAATGAACAACGCCCCTCCACGCCCGCCAGAGCTGCCCAGGGGCCGCCCGCGCCGGGCCGGGCGCGCGCTGTTTGCAGTATCATACATGACCATCAAGCTGCTGCTAGAATGTTCACACCTGTTACTGCAAATTCCAGCCCGGGACAGACTCCCGGGCATTTACTGTAGGTCAGGGTGGGGCTGCCTGGTACGGGGCCGCGCCCGCCGCTGGGCGGGTCCAGCCACACAGGAGCCTTTCCCCAGACCAGCGCCCGGACCCCGCCCGCGCCCCACATACCCGGGCCGCCCGCAGGTCGGGGTCGAGGCCGGAGGCTCCGTCGCGGCGGCCCGGCGGGCGCTCGTCTCCGGAGGAAGCCTGGGGAGAGGGCGGCGCGCGCCAGGCCCCCCCGCCCCCCCCGGGCCCGGGGGCCTCCCCGCCGGGACTGGGGGCGTCCGCGGCCCCGCGCTCCCTCGGCCTCTGGCGTCCGGGCCCCGGGGTGCGCTGGGAGCTGGGGGGGCCTCGGGGGGGCGCCTGGGGGGCCTCGCGCTCCCGCCGCCGGCTCGTCGCGCCCGGGCCAGGCCCAGCGGCAGGGGCGCCCCCAGCACGCCCCGGAGCACGCGGCGGCGCCCCCAGCTCGCTCGCCCGCCCGCCCGCCCGCCGGCCCGCCGCGCGGCCGCGGGAACGCACTTCCGGCGGAAGTCAGGCCCCACCACCGAGGCGGCAGCTAGAGCGTCCCCGAGCGCCCCCGACCCTGGCGCGCTGGGTCCTCCAAGGGCGTCTTAAAGGGGCCGCAGCGCTTCCTGAACGCGGCGGAAAAAGAGAAGCGCGAGGCGCGCGCGGGTGCGGGAGGGCGCGCCTGCTCCCCGAAGCCGGCTTGTGAGAGCGCGAGGCCCGTTCCCTGAGAGTCACCCCGCGACCCGTGTGAAAGAACAAACGGCGACCCCACCCCACCCCCAACGATCGCGAGCAGGGCGGTTTGCAGGCCCGGGCCACCGGCCTCCCCAAGCCGGGAGGCCGAGCCCTGGGGCTGCAGCGTGCGCACCTGGAGCAACCACACCTGGAGCAACCCACACCTGGAGCAACCCACACCTGGAGCAACCCACACCTGGAGCAACCCACACCTGGAGCAGGACCTGTGCGCGCTGGCAGCCATCACCAATGCATGGCACCCACGACTTGGGTTTGGAGAGCGCCTCTCCTTGCCCCGTGGGTGACCCCATGCCCCGTGGGTGACCCCATGCCCCGTGGGTGACCCCATGCCCCATGGTTGACCCCATGCCAGAGGCCCCCGGTGGTGGCAGCTCCTCGCAGGGAGACACCTCTTCCCTTTCAACCTGTGACTCAGTGCGGCCCAGAGCGACCTGGGAAGGCCTGCCACCCTCGGAGTCTCCTGTGCCCCTCGGGGGCGGAGGGGCTGGTGCCAGCCCCGGGTGCAGCAGACAGGCCGCCTTCTGGACCCACCCGGCAGGACATCCGCTCTAGGGGGCCTGGCAGTCCTGCTGTTACAGGGCAGCCCCCATATTGAACGGGTCGCCTGGCTGTGGGTCCTCACCCGCGCGCTTACAAGGGACTTATGAATACTCCACGGCAGGACACACAAAAGGTTCATAAAAGGTTTATGTACAAGGGAAAAGGAAATAAGGAAAATGGACAACTCAGGGAGAAAATAGGGAAATAAAGTCTTTAATGCGTCCTACCCGATCCGCCGACCTGGAAACCCAAAGTCACTCTCCGAGCTGGCCGGACGCTGCGAGCTGGCGGAGAGCCAAAATGGGGGACCCCCCCCCAAAGCCCACGTGTCTGGCTTTATACCAACCTGGCTGCTGAACCTCACCCTCAGGTCCCAGCCACCTTCCCTTGGGTGGGGATGGGATTTGGGTGGGGGTGGAGTCCACAAAGCCTGCATGGAATCAGCTTTAGGACAGCCTTTTCCCCCTAACACTGGCATTTGATGACCACGATGTCGCCGGAAAAGTGTCCCCCCAGCATCCCTTTTCTGGGGAGGAGAGCATTCTGCCTTGGCTTCACAAAGCTGGACCCACAGCAGCTTCTCCCCTTTCTCGGCAGCACTAGGTAGGGGCACTTACAACATGGGAGGGTTACAAAGTGCACTGTTTTATCCCGGCAGTGGTCACCTGGAGCAGGGACAGCTGTTGCCATCTCCGTTTTGCAAATGAGACCTGGAGCCCCCGGGTAGGGATGCGAGTGGGCAGGTGGCAGGGAAGAATCTGAACTCAGGGCAAAGGCCCAGAGCTTCCGGGCCGAGCACCAGGCCCTCTGGGGGCTGTTCCGGCAAAGCTGAGCCAGCTGCCCCGCTAAGCTTCAGTGTGGTTTGATGTCCGCAGAGCTAAATTGGCCATTATGTAATTTACATGTTTTGCATCTTGCATCCACGTTCACAAGTGATTTTATTTTTCCTTTTTCTCCCATCTTTGCCTGGTTTTGGTTCTAGCTTACTGGCTGGTCCTGCTCCTCCTCCAGCCCTCTTTTTTCCTGAAACAAGTTTTTTGGGTTTTTTTTTTAAGTTAAGTATTATGTGTTCCTTGGTGTTCTGGGAGTGAGAGACAGGGAAACTTATGCTATGGGTTTGCTTTTTTAATAATAGTTTCATTCAAGCTTGCCATCCCTAAGTCAATTTCAGTAATTCAGCTTCTTTCGGAAAACCAGCCATTTCATCTACATTTTACCTTTGGGGGTAACAGTTGTGCCCTACAGTGTGAGGGAGGTCTGGGAGGACAGGGCGTGGATTTGTCAGCATCTGCCTTCTGCCCAAAACTCAAGATCTGACCATCTCACTGTGTAAACTTGGCCACAAAAGAAACAAATACGGTAAATAAGTACAGAGCTCCCGCTAGTGATGGGCGAGGTGGGTTAGGTAGGGGACGGGCTCTGATGACAGCTGTCTCCTCTGACATGCGTGGAAAATCAGATGCACTGGTGGAGGGACAGGCAGGTGAAGCAGGTAAGACACGCTCACAGTAGAATCTAGGTGGCGGGCGGGTGGCCGGTTCCCGTAGGATTTCCTCCGCTCAGCTCTGTATGTGAAGATGTCGGGGGGGGCAGAGTGGGAAGTAGCTCGTGGACCCCAGGCCTGCGCTTATCCTGTCTCACCCCTGCAGTGAGGAGCAGAACTGGGACTGACTTGCGGGTGGCCCGAGTCCCTGGGGGTTTGCACCCAGAGCTGCAGGGGCTTCTGATGGGGCTGGGAGGAGGGACAACCTTGTCATCTTGCAAAAAAACAATTCGTAGCCACACACATTGCCTAAATCATGTCCACTAGGGGGAAAGTGCCTTAACCTACTTTCTGGGGCGAGGTGGAAGAACGCAGAACGCTGACCTGGACTGACAAGTCCAAATTTCAAACCGGCTACATTGCTCGTGAGCTGGGGGGCCTTCCCCAAGTCGCTCAACTTCTCTGTTTCAGTCTGATTCCTCACGCGTAGGTGGGTGTGCTGAGCCCTCGCTCCTAGGCGGGGCGACACGCAATCCTGTCTATGAAACATTTTGTGCCTGGCGCGAGTAAGTTCCCAAGAGCGGACGGTTTTTTTCCCCCTCCCTGTGACAGTAACGTCACCTGCCCTGGAGTAGAATCTCACGGCTGTACACCCACGATGGTGTACCCGGGGGTTTGACCCCGGAAGACATCAGTGCAGTATTTCTGGCGTGGTTATTCAAGGGTCTTTTGCATCCACTGTTGCTTACCTTTTTAATTTTCAGTGCAGCTTGAAAAGAAAACTCCCCCATCGCCACAGTCTCAAGGTCAATGTCACGCAATAATATTCGTGCTGTTTCTTCTTGCATCTTTCTTTCAAAGCAGCAGCTACAGAATGAGTAGCGTGTATGTGTTCTAGAAATTTGTCCTCCCTCCTGTTGATTCCTTGGCAAGTGCTGGATTCCATTACTCCCCGAGAATGCACTCGGGTAGGGGGCGGGAAGGGAGGGGCTGGCTGAGCAGGCCGGCTGCATCCTCTCTCCCTCGCTGCTCTGCCTGTCACTCAGCACAGCAGGTGCCTGAGGGCTCCCACTTCTGCTAGGAAGCAGAACTTGCCTTGAGCTCCGCAGTGGGTCCTGGCAGAGGGGCGACCATCATAGTTTCCCCCCCATCTTCTTGTTTGTAAGGGCTTCCAGACACACTTGACTTACTTATATTCTGCCTGGGACAGACTTGCCCCAAGGAAGCCTGCCGGCTGATGGTCCGGATGAGGGTCTCGGGCCTTGCTGACTTCCGGCCAGGACCGCTCAGTGGCTGACCGCGGCCTCCCTGAAGAAGGCGTCCCTCTCGCGACACTGCGGGGTCTCGCATGGGCTTCAGAAGCTGCTTTGGTTTTGTTGGCAGCTGCTGGCTCCCTGGGTGACTTGAGATGCTGATGCGGCTGTACCCGGGACTGCGGGGACTAGCCCCTGGCGGGAGAATGATGAGAGGCCTGTCTTGTCTTCCCAACTCCCTCTTTTTTCTTTAAAGATTTATCTATTTATGCATACAAGAGCTGGGGTACAGGCCAGAGATGGGGGTGTGTGTATGAGAAGATTCACCAGAGACAGAGTGGGGAACAGAGCAGGCAGATTGACTGAAATCCCCTGGGGAGGGGAGCAGCAGAGGCAGGAGAGGTCCGCTGCGCCCTGTGGGTCACTCCCTGGCCGGGGATTGAACTCGTGCCCCCGTGGCTGGCGATAGCTTCATTGAGCTGAAGCTTGGCCCTGCACCACCAGAGAGGCCCCTGTCCCCTCCATTTTGCTCTTGACAACATTCCCCAGCCCAGGCCCCGGGAGCCTGTGTAGGCCTTGCGGACGGCTGCGACCCAGGGAGAGCACAGGACTCGACAGGACTCGAGGGGGGCTGTTCTCACAGAGGCGGGGAGCAGGCAGGGGGGCAGCATTTTCTAGGAAGTGGCAGAAAGAGATGGGGCCTCCCTGGTGGCGCAAGGGGTTAAGATGCAACCTATGAAGCTCTCCCCCCTCCCCACGTCCCCTCCCCCTGCTGCTGAGATTGTCACCAGAGAATGAACCCCCCTCCAGGGCTGGGGGCGTGCCTCCTGCAGAGAATGTGGGGGCCACTAGATGGCAGTAAAGACCCAGCCTGGACCAAGTCTAAGGGGTGGGGGGGCGGTGAGTGGCGTGGAAGGTGGGGACCAGGAGGAGGCCAGGAGGACAGAAGTGGGAGGAGGGACCCCCTTCTGTGTTTGTTTCCCCGGCCCTGGGGAAGGGGACGGGAGATGGGGGTGGGCGGAGCTCCATGGCTGGACTCCCAGGGGCCTCTTGGAAGTAGGG